ATAAAATAAGTCTACTGCTCCTGAAGAGGACGGTATTACTTACAGTTTACTGAGATTAGTCTCACAAGTACCAGGTAATCCACTTTTAGTGTTGTACAGAATGAGTTTAAGTGAAGGAGTATTACCTGATGATTGGACAGTGTCATTGTTCCCATCCCCAAAGCACACTCAGATAATTATAGACCCATATCTCTAACATAATTTTGTCTATTAGCACAGTTTTCGGCGTGAATGCATTTTGGTTCTACAAGGTAGCCAACTCCATCAAAATATTAAATATGTACCCAACTCAATTAACGATTAATCAACCAATTACTCCATGGGATAACTTGGATCTAGCAGTTGATTTTGTAAATGCACCCAAGAAAGATAATGTACACTCTACATTATTAAAACAGTTAACACTGTGAAGCATCACTGAAAGTACTCAGAGTATGGGTAACGATGTGTATCAGTGCTATACCGACGGTTCTGTAGAAGAAGGTGGATGATGTACCGGATGTGCATGTAATATATTTGAACAATCTTCTCTCGTACATACATGAATGAAGCGCGTCAATGATTGGGCAAGTACAACTCAAACCGAACTTGCATTCATATACCTTGCCACTGAATTTTTAAAACACAAAGGCAGTCGACTTATATACTGTGATTCGCAGAGTGCACTCCTGGTATTGAACGCACATAGTAGTGACACCCAGAAAATAGTCAGTGATATTCGAATGAATATTTTAGCTGCCAAAGAAAAGAGATTTGAAATTAAATTCCTATGGATACCATCACATGTTGGCATCTCAAGGCATGACACTGTTGATATGCTTGCAAAGACAGCCTGTAGAAAACCAGTGGTAGAAATTTATATGGGTGTTTCATTAGCAGTGACAAAGAGAATACTTAAGCAAACATCTAATGAAAATCTCACCGACCTAACAAATTCACAAAGACCTGAAAATTGTAGCATTAAATATTATGATAGATATCGTGCGGAGACATTCACATACAGGATTAATGGAACAAGAACCCAATGTGATGTTATAGTGGCCATAATACGCTTGGGATATAGACGTATCTGGCAGCTTTCTCAAAACCCAAATGTCGAGTACACAATGTGTCAACTTTGTAAAAGAGAAAATATGCACTCCCTTGAACATTATATTGTAGAATGTCCCATACTGACTGACTTTCGCCCTCCTGGGCTAAGGTATGCTGAACTGTGTAATTACTATTTGAGTACTGGAACACTTGATGATATATTGAACTTGTACCCTAGATTGACCATGTAACGTATCAATTATACAATGAATGTATGTGATGTAACTCTATAACCTGAGCTTGTGAAAGCACCTTAATCACCTTCAGTGATTAAGTGCTTAATTGCACACTAGTTTCTCTATCAGTTATCTCACCTTGTCAGAGTAAAAGAGACAAATATATGTGTATGTATGTGTGTATATATGTATGTATATATATATGTATATGTACGCATACGTCTGTGTGTGTATATGTATGTGTATAAAGTATATGTGGAAGCTGGTCAGAATTCAATTTCACCTTTGTAAATGCACGTTAATGACACTATGTAAAAGACACATCGAACACTTTATGTAGGGCATACGTAAATCTGTGTATTTATGTATTTACGTATGTAGCTTAGCCTAGCATTTTAAAAACACTACAATCACCTTATGTGGTTAATTGTTCAATAAATCCCTGACCTATATGTTTAACAAATCTCTAACCCTATCAATGGAGTTAGTTAGTTTAGTTCTTATATTATGCACCCTATACCCATCTTGTGGGCGGTAGTGGAAAGGGTTAGAGTCCATGGCGGACTGAAGAAAATGTATATATGCTGGTTAGCATTGTTAATGTGTGGCCACGTCTGTGGTAGAAAATAATACAAAAAATCAAATAAAGGTATTATTGAAACTTTATAGGAAAACATTAAATGCTAAATATATCTTTAATATTATACTTGAAATATTGTATACTTTGCTCTTTCCATCGTACTTCTGCACCTGCTGGCAAGTGGTTCGGTGCAGTGTGCAGGTGATGTTCATTACTGGGTGAGCTGGCAGGTGATGTTCATTACTGGGTGAGCTGGCAGGTGATGTTCATTACTGGGTGAGCTGGCAGGTGGTGCTCACCTGCCAGCTCACCCAACGAAAATTTGGTTTTTAATACACTTACACATTTATTGGGTCTTTCCTTCACTTTCATTCAAGCACTAGGGTATTACAGTAAGTGTTTTAATTATAATATTTATTAACGTTATTATTTTGAATTTTTATTATTATTAGTATTATTATTAACAGGAGAGGAGTGTGTGTGTGTGTGTGGGGGGGGGGGGGGGGGTATAATGGTACACATGTCCACATCCCAATGCCCGCCCTTCCAGGACTGGGGGTGCGGGGGTGTACAATAAACTATACCCACATCCGGCGGCAGCTTGTCGAAGGCGGAAGTGTAGCCTAGACTATTTGTCATGATAATTAGTGATGACTCTTATTTTGATTATGGGTCCGTAATCCAGCTAAGCTTTTATTCTTAATTTATATTACAATGCTGGTAAAATACACTTCTTGATGATGAGTATGGAGTACAAATGAACTCATTGTGTACCCAAGTTCAAGTTCAAGTGTGTTTATTGAGATAAGCAATAAATACATCTCAAAGGGATAGAGTAGCTTAGGCTATTTCAACCCCCCTCTAATTCAAGTCCCTCAAGGGGTGCACAAATACTGTGACTACAAATAGACAAATAACATTACAAGAATCCAAACAAGAATTGTGTACCCTATACTCACAGGATGAATATAGGGTACACAATAAACTACCACTCACATCATGGGTATGGGTTGCACAAGAAACTATCGCGCAGAGGATGAATATGGAGAGCAAAGTAAACAAAGATTCACACGATGAGAAAGGGTTGCGCAATGTCCTATGACTCACAGAATGAGTATTAGCTGCACAATAAACTACAGGTCACAGGATAAGTATGGGTTGCACAATAAATTACAGGTCACAGGATGGGTATGGGCTGCACAAACTACCGGTAACAGGATGAGTATGGGATGCACAATAAATTACGGGTCACAGGATGAGTATGGGTTGCACAAACTACTGGTAACAAGATGAGTATGTGGTGCACAATAAATTACCGCACAGAGGATGAGTATAGGGTGCACAAACTGGTTGGGTAAATGGAAATGGTTGGGTACATTTCCTTTCACCTAATGCGACTATTCATGTGTCCGAACACCGGCGATTGTGTGGTATTGGCTATTTATTTAACCATAACTTTGCATTCATTTAATAATTATATTAAGACATGTTTTCCTTGAAATGTAGTTACATTATCGTCTACATGGCTTTATTCTGACATAAAGACCTATGGCGTTACTTTGCATATATGCAAAGTAATTATAAAATTGATTGGCTTGTGTGGAGGCCTTCACACTCCCTGAGCGAGCCATCAAGTAACTATAAAAAGGCATATATCTTAACTTTCAATTCAGTTATATTTATGCCAAATTATTAACATGCAGCTTATATTTATGTCTTTATGATGACATAGAAAACTTCGTTTATTACAATATCTAGATTAAATTAACATTGATCTTCGGAAGGTCATAGTTCCCATATCGGTAAGGAGAGCGTCGGCCATGAAGCCTTGTTTAAAGTATGAATATTTTTCCTCTCTAATAAGGTATAATCTCTGTGATGGATTCACAAAAACTATTTTATATCTGCCTTTCTGATAACATATACAAATATAATCTTTATTTGTGAATATTTCTTAATTAAGCAATATATCAGAGGGCGTGTAGGGTTCGGTGTTCAATGAACGAAAAGGACTGGATCACTGTGTACAGGAGGCTGATATGGCAGCAAACACTCTCCTGGCGACCATATATCTTGGATAAGTCGCTCCACACAATTGTCGCTTGGACCGTCGACTTCCTATGGCGTCACCTCTCACATATTTACGTCTAATTTCGTTATGAAATTAGATTATTTCAGAGTAAAAATAGGTTTGATCATGTTCTATGTGTAGCACCAACATTATAGTAAGTAAATATACCATATTTCTTCATTACTTACGTAATGCTAAGACGATTTGGGTAGTTTTGGGCTGATTTGGGTCGATTTGGGTAATTCTATGGACCGGTATTAGCTAGTAGAGATGCTACTGCTGTACCTAGATGGCATAGAATATTTATGGACTATACAAATTTATGCATATGTCTTTATTAAAAAAGTATGAATGTCATTGGGTAATTTAATTTGTAAACCTTACCTAACTTTGTTGGAGACAGGAACAATAGCTTGTTAAAGTCTCCAAAAAAAGTGAACAGGTTAAAATATAAGCGACGATATTTCCTCGTAACTTTGATTTAATTTAATACAGGGTGGGCTGGGGATTATTTGTTTCAGCCATGTTACTGTGACTTATTCTCTGCAATGTTGACATGTTTCTTGAATGACAATTCACCTGAAACACTTTGTGTGCTGCTGATGTGAATGTATTCATGGAGTGCAGTGGTATGTGTTGAACATGATGCAACAGTTTGTAGTGCTTAAGATAATACAAATGGATGAGGTGTGTTGATTTGGATAGCCTTATTCATAATTTTCTATTTGTTTTATTTCTTCTGTGCTGATACCTCTCCACTCTATGAAATTTGGAAGTGGAATAGTGATGATTATTTTTTACTACAGTATTTTAGAAATAGGTAATTTATACATTTTGTGCCCATGTATGCTACCACGTAACATAATAAAAGTAGGATCCCTCGATTGTTTCAAGCGTAGGTTGGACATGCAGTACAGTACAGTATATATATAAATGAGAGATTGGATATAAATGAGGTGGATATAAATGGGAGCTGCCTCGTATGGGCCAATAGCCCTTCTGCAGTTACCTTCATTCTTATGTTCTTATATAGTATTGCAAATAATTAGATTTTCCATAACTCTAATTGTTGTATTTTTAGAGATGTATGTGAATGACGTGAGGCAGAAGGTATGTGATGGTGGTGCCGTTCCCTCCATCACGAAGGAGAGTGTGTCGACTGCTCTTGTCCATGGCAATAATGGCCTCGGACCTGTTGTTGGTAACTTCTGCATGGACCTTGCTATTAAAAAAGCTAAAGAAACAGGCATTGGCTGGGTCTGCACACGGGGTGAGTTTACACAACTTTTTGGTTAGCATTTCTTTTGCATTGTTCTCATAGCTGCATCATACTGTTTATTTTCAATTACAGCATCTGTTTACATATTGGAACTATTTTATTAAATATTCTCCTTAGTAATGAAAATTAACTTGCATTATAGCTTCAGGGATTGCTGTAAAAGAAAACTTAGTGATGCTGTTCACAAATGACTCCTCATCAAGAATGTGTTTACTGTGGTTAGTCAAAACTGACCAGTTTTCATACATATCTAATAACTGAATTGAACATACAATACTATACATAATTGGAACAGATATTCATGGATGAATTTTATATTAACTATATATTTTATAACTAACTATATAACTTTGTCCCATTTTTATATCAGCAAAAACTGGACACTGCTGATTTTTGTAAAAGTCAATTTCAGTTGCTGTGTTTGACTGTAACTGATGAGTTTCCATTGAATAATATATGGTCTTGTGTGAGTGTTGTAGTTGAAAAGGGCAAAAGTATTATATGAAGCTTTGTAGTATTGCTAATGTGGCCTAAATAGAAGTTTTTTATAACAGGTTAAATTATATGATTCAAACAAAATCTTTTGCTAATGTGAGGTTCATACGACCATTATAAGAATTCACTAAAACATTCTAAGTACTGTACATACTGTAAGGGAAAGACAGCTAACATTTTTTGCAACTTGAAAAGTAAATGTTTTCCAAAATATGTAAATGATTGAATTATTTAATGGGAAGGCAAGTACTGTACAGTATTTAGCAGTTTAGTATGTAAATCAGCCCTACGAACATGTTACTGTGCCTTAGGATCATAAATATCTGCTGCCAGCCATCAAGCATTTGTCTTCATATTGATTTCTTCAGTAAATTGCTTTTTCTCAGCATTGATAAAATCTACTAGCATTCTGTAATTAACTAAGTGTGTTGTTGTCCTGTCTTCCCAATACTCTTTATAATATGATGCTTTGAAATTACTGTGAGTTTTGGCATACACTGTCGTCACACTTGTTCTAACCTTCTACCACTGTTTGCAAAAGTGGACTTTTAATGTTTTCTGGGCAGCTTTGTTTCCTTCATTTGAACCTATTGTTGTTCTTCTTCCTTCTTCTTCCTTCTTCTTTCTTCTTCTTCTTTCTTCTTCTTCCTCCTTCTTCAAGAGGCAGTTTTAAAAAATTCTCCTTTGTCAATTTTGTCAATTCCTGTTATTGTTTTGTATGTAATTTTATTTTATTTTTATTTATTTATTTATTTATATACATACTGTATATACAAGAAGGTGCATTGGGTTTGTGGGAGTACATAACATTGATGTTTTTACATTCTTGCAAAGCCACTAGCACTCAGAGTTTCGGGCAAGTCCTTAATCTAACAGATAATTATAATTAGGTAATTTGTAGAAAAATTTGAAGAATATTAATAGGTACATTGTAGAAAAATGCTTAGGATATTAATAAGTACTGTACATTGTAGTAAAAATTGAAGATTATTAATAGGTACATTGGAGCATAATTTGAATAGTATTAATAGGTAATATTATAGCAAAATTTGCATTCAACATAACAGCTGTGATACAAGTTTATAGCAGTGATTACAATGGTGAAGAGGCATGTATTAGGCACTACAATTGGGGAAGAGTGAAGCATAAGATTCAGTGCAAGTTTGAAGCACAAGTTAGAAACTATGAGGATGATATTAAGTACTTTTTGGTTTTACTTTTGAATAAGGCATAGGTTGGATAGCTTTTTAATTCGTTTGTGGGTGAGTTTCATAGACTAGGTCCCTTTATTTGCATGGAGTGTTTCCACAGATTTAGTTTGACTCTGGGGATATCAGAGTTTTATTTCTGGTGTTATGCTCATTGGTTCTATTACATCTGTCAAGGAAAAGTTTCAGATCAAGATTAGCATTTAGGAACAAGGTTTTGTACATGTAAATAGCACAGGAGAATATGTGGAGTGAGTGTATGTTTAGCACATTTAGGGATTTAAACAGAGGCGGCTTTGTGTTGTCTGGAAATAGTTTGTTATTGTTCTGATAGCAGATTTTTGCTGAGTGATGATGGGCTTGAGGTAATTTGCAGTAGTTGAATCCAATGCACAGATACTCTATGTAAGATAAGGATAGATTAGCAAGTAGCATAATGAGTGATCATGTCACCTTTTTTTTTTCCCCCTTCTGTCTTCTCGCTTTGGTACATTTAGTGCCTCTAAGCTCTCCTCATAGCTCTTGTTTATCGGTTGCATATTTTAGTTTTAGTTGCATGTCTTTGCACATTTTCTAGTTTATTGATATGCTTCTTAAGATATTAACACCATACAACTTTGGCATCACAAAGGTTGTGAATAATTTCTTTATTTTCCCATTCATGTACTGTATTTAAAAGCATTTCTAAAGTTGGAAAGCATAGCATACACTCCTCGTACAACGTTCTTTATGGGATCCTTGGGCAACAATTTTTTTTTTTCCAGAACCACCCCTAGATATCTTTCTTTATCAGAATTCTTTAAAACCATTTCACATAATTTGTAATCTCTTTTTCAGGTAAATTAAGGTAATGTTCTTTGTGGCCTGTTTTCTCCTGTTCCACATTAAATTCCATTTGCCAAAGGGTTGCCATACACTTTATTTTGTCTAGGTCCTTTTGAAGGGCATGACAATAATCTAAGTTTCTTATTTTTTCTAGTATCTTAGTATCATCAGCAAACATGTTAAGGTAGTTAACATGTTAAGTAAGGTAGGATTTGAGGTATTGTAGGGAGTGTCCTCTGACACCATAATGATGTAATTTAAGATGAAGGTTTTGGTGGTTGACAGTATCGAAAGCTTTACGCAGGTCCACAAATAACCCAACAGGGAACATATTTTTATCAAGAGCTGTATGAATCGAGTTAATCGATTGAACTCCAAACCTTTCCAGATATTCTAAAAAAAGCGAGAGTAATGCCTGTCCACAAATGTGGTGATCTCACAGATGTTAACAACTCTCACAGATGTTTGCCCGAAACGCATTGCGTAATAGTGGCTTTAGGCATTGTATGTACTAGCTCTATCTATATATCAATCCATTAATGTAACATCACTTGTATGTATATACCTTACCTGAATAAACATCTGAATCTGAATCTGAATGTTCATATAATTCTGCATTCCTTCTGGTAGATCGTTTATATAGACAATGAACATTACTGTTGCTAGAACTGAACCCTGTGATATTTAAAGAGCAACATTAAACAAACTTGGAGAACAATTTCACAAATATTGGGATCAAAGAAGTCTTTAAATAACAACCCGACTCTCCTGTCTAATAACGATGGTCAGCTTTCAGCCTCTGATTCTGCTATTGAGTTCAATAGGTTCTTCTCTTCCATTGGTTCATCCCTTGCTAATGATATTCCATCTTCCAGTACTGACATAAAGGACTATCTTACAGGGAACTATCCACAGTCTCTGTACCTAAAGCCTATTAATTCCACTGACGTCAATGAGACAATCCTTTCCCTTAAAACCAAGTCTGGTGCCCTTGAGGAGATACCAACTTTAATCTACAAAAAAGCCTCCAGATCTTTAGCCCCTGCTATTGCTTTGCTCTTCAACAAGTCACTTGAACTCCAAACCTTTCCAGATATTCTAAAAAAAGCGAGAGTAATGCCTGTCCACAAATGTGGTGATCTCACAGATGTTAACAACTACAGACCTATATCAATCCTGCCAAACTTGTCAAAAATTGTTGAAAAACTAATCTATAAGCAGCTTTACTCATATCTAGCCAAACTCAATATACTTAGCCCTTGCCAATATGGCTTCAGGCCCAAAAAAAGCACTAACGATGCACGTATTAGTATGCTTAACTCGATTCATACAGCTCTTGATAAAAATATGTTCCCTGTTGGGTTATTTGTGGACCTGCGTAAAGCTTTCGATACTGTCAACCACCAAAACCTTCATCTTAAATTACATCATTATGGTGTCAGAGGACACTCCCTACAATACCTCAAATCCTACCTTACTGACAGGCTCCAATGTGTTTCTGTGAATAATACAATTTCTCCCACCCTACTCATCAACATTGGTGTTCCCCAGGGCAGCATACTTGGCCCTCTCCTCTTTCTGATCTACATTAATGACCTTCCAAATGCCTTCCAACACCTCAAACCAATTCTATTTGCTGACGACACAACCTTCATTTACTCCAGTCCTGATCCCCTTGCTCTAAATGCCACAGTAAATACTGAGCTAAATAAAGTCCATCTGTGGCTAACTGCCAACAAACTCACCCTTAACATTGACAAAACTTTCTATATTCTGTTTGGCAATAAATCCTCTAATCAAATAAATCTCAAAATAAACAATACCCAAATTTGTAACAAATTAGATGGCAAATTCTTGGCATTCTCATTGACCACAAGCTGAATTTCCAGGGACACATTCTAAACATATCAAAAAAGGTTTCAAAAACTGTGGGCATTCTTTCTTTCTAAGATCAGATATTATGTACCACGCCCTGCCCTGGTGACTCTCTATTACTCCCTTATCTATCCATATCTCAACTATGGTATTTGTGCTTGGGGCTCTACTACCCAAAATCACTTACGTCCTCTAATTACTCAACACAAAGCTGCTATAAGGACAATATCCAATTCTGGCCCCAGACATCACTCGGTACCCCTACTCAAATCTCTGAATATGTTAGACATTAAGTCACTGCACATTCTCTCATGTGTATTATACATATATAAAACGCTAAACTATAATGCCAATCCTGATCTCAAAAGCTTCATAGAAGGTTGTAACAGAACCCATGAGCACCACACCAGAAATAAATACAGTTTTGATATTCCTAGAGTACGACTTAATCAAACCAGAAATGCTCTACAAATCAAGGGGCCCAGAATGTGGAATGACCTTCCCAACCATGTTAAAGACTGTACCTCTCTCAACCAGTTTAAGTTAAAAACGAAGGTATACCTAATAAATTCCCTGTAACCTACCTTACCCCTCTGTTGTCAACCCATGTATGTTTTTTTTTTTTTTTTTTTTTTTTTTTTTCAATTCAACGCTGTTTGAATGTAATTTTCTGTAATAATTTGTAATTGTATTTGTGCTGCTTTTTCAACAATGTTCCCCCCTCTTTTACCTCTATTTTTATTTGTACTCAACACATTTTATTCTTTTTACCCATTAGTTTTAAGCTTTAGTCATTAGTGTTTTTTCCTGCCCGAAACGCTTTGCGTAATAGTGGCTTTAGGCATTGTATGTACTAGCTCTATCTATAAAGCCAACAAACTTTGTAAAATCTCTTTATGTATGTACCTTTACCTAAATAAAATTATTATTATTATTATTATTATTATTATTATTATTCCACTGTAACATTTCTCTAGTCTGATACATTGCCTCTGATTACTGTCTTCATTTTTATGTCAATTTTTTTTCATCCTTGTTAGAAGTCACCCTGTCACCCCTCTAGTATGTTCTAGTTTCCAAAGCAACTTCTTATGTAGGACTCTGTTAAAAAAAATTTTTAGGTCCAGATAAATCTGTCAACCCTACCATATATTTCCTGTAACATCTCTGTGGCTCTATCAAAGAAACTAAGTAGATTTGCTACACAGGATTCTGATAAAAAACCATACTGTCTGTTATGTCATTTCTCTCCAGGTGTTCTATTTGATTTTAACTATTTTTCCAGTGTTTTAACTACTATGCTTGTCAACAATACAGATCTATAAGAGGGTCTTCCTGTATTTTACCTGTGTAAAATATTTGTAAGCCTCTGTTTATTTTTTTATTTTTTTTTTCAGGCAGCAACCACTATGGCATTGCAGGTTGGTATGCTCTGAGAGCCACGAGAGAAGGCCTCCTGGTAAGAGCTATTTAAGTTGTGTTATGCATTGTTTTTTGAACTAGACTTGGGCAGGTTTTTGATCATAGATATATACATCAATATTAGTTTCTTCAATGTATTTTTCAGCAGCTTGTATTCATATGCAGGCAATGAGTCACAATAACGTGGCTAAAGTATGTTGACCAGACCACACTAGAAGGTGAAGGGACGACGACGTTTCGGTCCGTCCTGGACTATTCTCAAGTCGATTGTGAATGGTCGACTTGAGAATGGTCCAGGATGGACCGAAACGTCGTCGTCCCTTCACCTTCTAGTGTGTGGTCTGGTCAATCGGCTTGTATTCGTGTTTGCTTAAGTAGTACAGTAATTGAATGTAGCATTGTAGTAACTACTGATTATTGGAAATAATGAAGTAAATACTGTATTTGTGCTAGATGAGTTCTTAATTAGGTCTAAGATAAGATAAAACATATAGTCATTGATGTGAATTTTTTAATATAATTTCCTGTATAAATATATAACAGATTCATCATGCTTAAAAGTACACTTATGTTGTATATGGTCATATGTTTCAGGGTATGAGTTTTACCAACACGTCGCCACTTGTTGCTCCAACTCGTGCCAAGAAGGTAAGTGGTCACAAACATCTTGACATTGTTAACTACTTGTCTTAAGTGTCCGATGACTGTAGAGACTTGGGCTGTTCATCTTATCAGAGTTGAACTCTGTGATGGCTGGTGAACTTGTACTTAATTTTGATTTGAATAAGATAAATGAATGCCTCTGATCACTGTGCATGTTAGGAGATGTGGTCCTGTATAAAATTGCACCATTTTGTCTGATACTATGGAAAGGTTTTAAGAATTTTTAGATAAAATATAGCTTGATAAAATATAAAAGTACAGTTTGACAAGTAGTACAAATATGCACATGAAGAAGTCATCAGTAATAGCATTGTAGTGCAGCTTAGGTGTACTGTACTAAGGAATTATGTTTAGCATGTGACATTTATTTATTTATTTATTTATTTATTTATTTATTTATTTATGCGAACAAGCCTGAATGGTCCTCAGGATTATATGCAACTGAAAACTCACACCCCAGAAGTTATTTATTTATATATATACAGGAAGATACATTGGGTTTATGAGAGTAGATAGCATTGATGTTTTTTACATTCTTGTAAAGCCACTAACACTCAGTGTTTTGGACAGGTCCCTAATTTAACAGATAATTTTAAGTAGGTAATTTGTAGCAAAAATTGAAGAAGTATTAACAGGTACATTGTAAGAAAATGAATAGGTACATTATAGTAAAATTTGAGTAATAGTAAAGAGTAAAAATACCAGTAGTAAGTGCACTATAGTGAGCAGGTAATGATAATATCACAGTAAGGTTACACATTTCTTAGAATATCAAATTTTTGTCTGCAATATTTTGCCGATATTAGATCTATGTTGTATGCAGTGTGTGTGTGGCGCTGAGGCTAGAACACATGAAGGGAATGTCCTCAGCAAATAGTACAAGTTTCAGATGGTTAGACGTATTAGGCAAAGAAGCATCTAATCTCGTCACTATAGTACCCTAAATCTATTTGTATTATCTTTTGATATGCAAGCTACATTACTATAACACATCTGCCAAAGAACCTTGTGCTGTTTATCTAGCAGCTAGTGCTGTTCTAGTGAAAATATAATATTTCCATTAATTTCATTATCTCATTATTCACTGTATGTAGGTATGTTTTAATGGCTGTACTTTTGCTAATTGAATGTGATACTTCATTGATAATTCAAGAGTATCCATGTTGATTGAATCTGTGGCATGTTAGTAGCTTTCTGGCTGAACATGTGTCATTCACCTTAATTAGGGTACCAAATATATCACAATGGTTCAGTTATCCCACTGATGGCTCTTGAAGACACAATCCTCCTCCGTGTGTTCCTTACAGAGAGAGAATCTTCCTCCTCATGTTCTTTACAGACATTCATTCTCCCTCCATGTTCTTTAGACAGAATCCACCTCCTCACGTTCATTACAGAGACATATTCATTCTCCTCGTGTTCATTTTACATACAAGCTGCCAGTTTTGTTTGATTTCCAACTGTGTTTTAAAGTCTGTCTTTTTGCTGTTGTTGCAGGCAGCTTTGGGAACCAATCCAATAGCCTTGTCAGCACCAGCAAAGAACGGGGACAGTTTTGTACTTGATATGGCAACCTGTGTTGTAGCTGTAGGTAAAGTAAGTAAGGCATAAAGTTATATTTTTACACTACTATGTACCAAACACAATGTGACTATTTATTCGTGAGATGCTAAAAATTCTAACATTAGTTGAATAATTTATCAGTAGATTATATGCTGCAATATCAGGTTTGTGTTAGTGCAAAATTTAATGATTTGTTTTAATGATAACTATGACATTACTCCCTGAAGATTGAAGTTGAGCGTCGGAAGGAAAAGCCTATTCCTGAAGGCTGGGCATTGGACAAAGATGGTGTACCCACTACTGATGCTGCCGAGGGCATGCAGGGGGCCCTTATGCCTCTGGGAGGACCAGAATTACACTCCGGCTATAAGGGTTATGGTCTTGGCATGTTAGTGGAGGTCTTCTGTGGTATTTTGTCAGGTAATTGTTTTCCTTACTTTATTTATTTGAAATACTTTAAAATGTAATTGATGTGTATTGACAAAGTCCTTAAGTATATTTTTAGCTGTGCCACTCTGTTGCTTATTTTATGGGCCTTGTAGCAGAGTGGTGTATGTTTTCAACTCTCAGTTGAGGAGACCCCGATTCAAGCCACGTGCACGACATCTTGGGTTTCCATAATATTGGTGTGAACATTCAATACCGATATGATCTTATTAATACAGTGGTTACAGTAGTTACAATTTTATTTTATGTAGGTAAAGCATTGTTAGTTACGTTCGCACAAATCCAGTAAAAAGCATAGCATCTACTCCACCCTTCCTCCATCTATTCTATTGCTTCCTCCATCTATTCTATTGCTTCCTCCATCTCCTCTATTGCTTCCTTCATCTCCTCTTGTGCTTCCTCCGTCTCCACTTTCATCTTATACACCTTTCGCCAGCTTGACCTCATTACATTTCTTGAACGAATTTCATTATCAGGACTCGTTTAAACATTGTGTACTCATTATACTCACTGTCCTTGTTACATCAACATATAATCATTGCCCCCTAAGATGTGCCAACCTGGAGAAACTTATTGGTTCTCTTATAAGGTTGAAACATGTTTACACTTTTAATACTGTACATTACCGTACTGTACCTCGAATGTTGTATAGTACAATTATTTATGTAACTGTGTTAAACAGGTGGACAGTACGGCCCAAATGTTCGCCGATGGCTGCAGACAGATAGAGAAGCAGACTTGGGGCAGTGTTATGTGGCCATCAATCCTGCATTTTTTGCCCCAGGATTTGAAGATCGTATGAGTGATTTAATGGACCATTGCCGTGGCATGGAACCAGTAAGTGATCATCAAATAGAGGATTTACGTGTTTAATGGGTTATGAATAGATTCCTTCAAATATGCTTAGACAGCTGCTTTAGCAGTATTTAGAGTATCAATTGCAGCAGAATTAAAATGTTGGATATTTGTCATTAATCTTAATTTGAAAGTGAAATATTCATGAAATGATATGGTAACTGATCAGACCTTTACCATGAAAAAATAAGTCGCAGAAGGTACCAGAACTGTAAATGTGCTTCTTGTTACTCTATAAAAGGTTTAGGTTAGAAGATGTTGTACTTTGCTCAGGATACACTTGTCACATATAAGATAAAACAGAATGATGGAAAAACAAGGAGAGGAGATGAATATAAAAAATGTAAGTCATGGTGCTTGGATATTATAGGCTGTTTTTTTCTAGTAGGATATGGTTTGTTAAATAGTACTGTTATAAAAAGTTTAACCTATTAAATATTTGTTGTATCTTCCATTAACAAAATTATGAAAAATACCCTAACTATTTGAATAATACAATATAAGATTTCTAACTTATTTTAGGCTGATGCAGAAAAGCCAGTCTTGTCTGCTGGCGATCCTGAACGTGCACACATTGACAAAGTGAATCGAGAAGGTGGCATCACATACCATATCAATCAAATCACAGACTCTGTAAGTGTGATGATTAAATGTGTGAAATACACACTTGCTCATCCAGTCAAAATTTTCTTCCCTCTTCATTTAATTTTCCATTATCAAGTTTCATTTATGCATAACATTTCTTTCCTCATCCATTCCATACAATTTTTCCATGATTACTTGTTCATTTGTGGAGGAGCTTAACAGTGGATACTTGTTGCTAGCTGCACCGAGGTAGCTCCACACACATAAATCGCATCAGATCTTTAATAGGCTATTGGAGACCAGGGGCCAAAACCCAGGTCTCTAATAGCCTATTGGAGACTTAAAGGCCAAAACCATGAGAGTTGCGAGGAAAAGCGCCAAAATCGGGGTAGTCTAGATCAGCCTTGCCAAAAAAAATGAATGAAATGAAAAAAGGTGAAGCAAAACAGACAAGTGTAAGGTCCCATAAATGGTTCACCGTAGTAGGTATGCCACACCTACTAGCTCTAGTTACTGCTGGCCATCACCAGGTGGCAGCCTCACAGGAACTCCCAGCTCCCTGTGTCTTAACAATGATCAGTCCTTCGTCAGGTGTGACACGTCTGACCTGCTCCTTGAGTCTTTACCTGAATTACCTGAGGGCCACTATTTCTTTTGTGGCCTCAAAGGAGACAGGAAACCAATAGCTTATCAAAGATCCTCCCTACTTTTCCTGATGATATTTTCCAGTTGGATTTTGAATTGCAGTACGGTATTGTCTTGAGTTTTACAGCTTCAGCGAGTAGGCAGTTCCATGGGTCATACAACTCTATGGATGAAAAGCAACTCCTGTTTTCTGTCCTACATTGTGGCAAAAGACTTATTGAATAGCTGGTTCCCTCTTAAACTTTAAATGGGTGAGTTGGCAAACTTGCTCGAACTCTGAAGTTTCGGCGGCTAGTCTGAGTAATGTATCTGTAAAAGCCATTTTTGATAAGCAGAAATGTCGTTCTTTGTATCTTGAGGTTATCTTGAGATGATTTCGGGGCTTTTTAGTGTCCCCGCGGCCCGGTCCTCGACCAGGCCTCCACCCCCCAGGAAGCAGCCCGTGACAGCTGACTAACACCCAGGTACCTATTGTACTGCTAGGTAACAGGGGCATAGGGTGAAAGAAACTCTGCCCAATGTTTCTCGCCGGCGCCTGGGATCGAACCTAGGACCACAGGATCACAAATCCAGCGTGCTGTCCGCTCGGCCGACCGGCTCCCTGTGTGTGTGTGTGTGTTATTATTTTTTAATTATTTTTTTACTTTAATTTTAATTATTTAGACTATTTTTATTTGTACTCAACGCATTTTTTTTCTTTTTACCCATTAGTTTTAAGCTTTAGTCAGTAGTGTTTTTTCCTGCCCGAAACGCTTTGCATAATAGTGGCTTTAGGCATTGTATGTACTAGCTCTTATCTATAAAGCCAACAAACTTTGTAAAATCTCTTTATGTATGTACCTTTGCCTAAATAAAAATTATTATTATTATTATTATTATTATATTTGATCTTTTTAAAGAAGTGATCTGGAACAGCTTCCTCCAAATTGTTCAGTATTTCAAAAGTTTCGATGAGATCATCCGTCTCATGTGGGGACCCATTTGCTTCCATATCATTTTAATACAGTATACTGTATAGTATTTGCTTCACGTGCATGTGTTTTGAAGCCTCACTTGTTGTGTGGACTTTGCAAACTTTTTATGTCGAGGTGCATGTGATTAGGGCTTCTGTTCCCCAGGTACTCATTAATGTTGCCCTAGTACTGAAATGGTTGCTTCCCCTTGTTTGTTTGGGTGTTTATCTCAGAGACCAGACCATTGTATGGTGCAATGCCTTGTAGAGTAAATGTTTACATGGCATCAGGGAAACTGTACAATATATACACTGATTTTTTTTTTTCTGAATATGAATTAAACTTTTTTTTGTGAAAGATTACTACATTTAATAATGTCATTATTATTAATATTTTTGTTAAATATTGCCAAAGACTTAAGGGGGTTAATGTGGATGCGTGTCAGGATTTTGTTAAAATGTGAATGGTGCTGTATATCATCATCCCATCAAGATAGATACAGATGGAAACTCCATTTCTCATACGAATTAAGGGACACTATTATTTTGTATTTTATAAGCTTTATGTAATGTATAACTCTGATGAACCACTATAATATACTGAGGTTAAATATTTTGAATAATTTGTTACATTTCTATTTCAGTGGAGGCTTGCAAAGGTGCTGGGTGTGAAGCCGATGCAGTAAATGACATTTGCAACGATATAGGATAAAAACCCACACTTCTGTAAGTGTGAAATTTACATGAGGAATTTACACCAAGTCTTTCACATTCTTCTGAATGCTTTGTCAAGGTCCGAGTGTGTGATTAGGACGAGAATTTTTATTAGACGTGGAGATATAAATCTCGTCACACACTCAGACCTTGACAAGGCACTCGGGAGAGTGCAAAAGACTAGGTGTAAATTCCTTATATAAATTTCACAAATACACAAGTGTGGGTTTTTATCCTATGGTATTATGTCTGTGAGAAGACATTACCATTACTAATTTGCAATAATGATAACTGAGCAAGAGTGACTTGCAGGAAGTGCGATGATTATTCTGCCCTACACATTTGGTTATACTGTATATGCAATAATTTCATGTAGACTGCATTTTTTATGTTTGTGGGAGGGAGAGCACAAAGGAATTATAGTACTGTACTACATGCACTTGTGCTGGCTTCCTGTCCCCAAAGTGGCAAATGGAGATTGTGGCAATCAAGTAGATTTAATTTAACATTAATATTTCATCTTGTGCGAGAGAGGAAATAGGGAGGCAGGAGGTGTTGGCTTAGCGACAGTAGCTGGAACAGTCGTGTGGCATAATGCACCAAGCTGTGTGTGTGTGTGTGTGTGTGTGTGTAGACCGAAGAGAACCTCATTGTTTTGTTCGAGTTTCAGGTCAGTACCCACTATTGGTAGTAAACATTAACCATTTTGGATTAGCTATATGGATAATATTTTTGTGGAATTATGTGGAAAAACGTCACATTTTTTATTTTGAAAACATTTTCATTCCATTTCCTTATAGAAATTAAATAAAATTAATTTTTGCTGTGAATATTGTAGGCGAGATATGACTGTACAGTAATATCATAATGATTATTGCTGTCTGTATTTAGTGCATGTACAGTGTTCCTATTGTGCTAGAAGGTAGTGAATGAAGTCTGTAGCAACCAATATCCTTGGTCAGTTGTTCATCTTATGCACCTCCCACACTCAAGCTTCTTCCCCTGTGCTGTTTGTTTTCTTAATATTTTTACGCGGCCATGTCCCTGACCATGCGTTAGGAGACAGAACACACACACATTGCCTCGGAAAACATGCTTTAGGTCACCAAACGTGCTTTGGATCCCAAACATAAGAACATAAGAATGAAGGTAACTGCAGAAGGCATATTGGCCCATATGAGGCAGCTCCTATTTATATCCACCCAAACTCATTCATATACATGTCACACACATACATACATGTGTGATGTCATCACACATGCATGTATGTATGATTACTGTACATGTATGATTTCATCCAAAATGTAAAGTACTGTAGCTTAAATTGTTGTACAATACAATTATTTGTTGTTATAACTTGTTTGTATTTAAAATGTTTACTGTTGTTTAGGAAAGCTTTTATTTTCATGAGTGTAGCCATTCTGATATTAAAATTACTGAAATTGTGAAGCTTTTTTTTTTTTTCCTGGTCAGTATTTGTTTGAATTCTTCTCTTTGTAGCTTGAGATTCCTGCCCAAAATATATACGGTACTTTTATATTGATTCTGGAACACAGACTCTAACTATTTTGTAGTTAAATGTAATTTTTAATGGAATGGTTTTATTCACAGCAACATAAATTTGGTTTTATAAACATATTTGATGTACATATAGTAGTCATATTAGTACAATGGATAACTGCAATTTAATATGGTTAAAATTATATTATGAATTAGTATCCCCATCTTGATGCCTTCTTTTGATAATTATTTTACTTGCTTTACAATGTCTTCATAATTGTAACCATCTTCACTACAAATGACCTTCATGGCTGTAACTAGACTACATGACCTCATCACTGTAACCCTCTACACTACACACAATGTAACCATCTTTACTACACCTGACTACCATTACTGTAACCATCTTTACTACACCTGACTACCAATTACTGTAACCATCTTTACTACACCTGACTACCATTACTGTAACCATCTTTACTACACCTGACTACCATTACTGTAACCATCTTTACTACACCTGACTACCATTACTGCAACCATCTTTACTACACCTGACTACCATTACTGCAACCATCTTTACTACACCTGACTACCAATTACTGTAACCATCTACCTTATACAATACCTTCAGCACTGTAACCACCCTCACTACACTGTGTTCATGACTGTATCTTGTCAATCTGCTTCCAGTTGGAGCCGAGTATGAAAGCTCAGTTGACACAGACATGAGACTACCGTCTTAATGACTGTTGTTGAAGGCGAGGTAATTCAAATGGAGTGATGCACCTATGTAGGTTCAGCTCCACTTAATGATAAAATTGATCCTGCAGGTTGATCCTGCCAGTAGTCATATGCTTGTCTCAAAGATTAAGCCATGCATGTGTGTGAGACTCACAAGGTGAGTTAAGGCGAAACCGCGAATGGCTCATTAAAATTAGCTATGTTTCATTGGATCTGTAAACCCACTTACTTGGATAACTGTGGTAATTTTAGAGTAATTCTAGACGCATGTCCTGCATGCTGTCCTACCTCACCACAAAGGTAAATCACTTTGCTTAGGGAATGTTATGGTCTGCATGAAGGCAGTTTAATCCATTATGATATAATAAGCACTGTTGTTATACAAATAACAACAAATAAATAAACAAGAAACTATGTAATTAGCTTATCAAGATTTAGCTAAATAAATTTTGGGGTCCAGTTCCTGAGCCCATTACTTTGCCTATGTAACCTTTTCCACTATCGCCCACGGAATGGGTTTGGGATTTACTACCACTCGCAGGATGGGCATGGGGTTCACTATCACTCACAGGATGGGCATGGGGTTACTATCACTCGCAGGATGGGCATGGGGTTTACTACCACTCACAGGATGGGCATGGGGTTTACTATCACTCACAGGATGGACATGGGGTTTACTATCACTCACAGGATGGGCATGGGGTTTACTATCATTCACAGGATGGGCATGGGGTTTACTATCACTCACAGGATGGGCATGGAGTTTACTATCACAGAATGGGCATGAGGTTTACTATCACAGAATTGGCATGGGGTTTACTACCACTTATAGGATATGGCTATGGTGGTGAATAATAAATGAACTAATCTAAACTATCAATATAAACGTGTTAATGATTGGTCGAAGTACATATACATAGGAATATACAAGCCCAACTTGTAGATTCCAATCCCTGACAACGTCGGGAAAAGTAAGTTGTTAATTGAAGTCACCAAGCCAGGAAGATAGGTCACCATACCAGGATGATAGGTAGCATTGGACGGCAAGACGATCAAGATCTTATTCCAGTCTCACACTAAATTTCTTATGTTCTCACCTTACTAAATTTATATTTTAATTTTTTTTTAAATTTTGCCCCGAGGGGCGAGTTTATTGGGCAGCGCCACTCATCTTGTGAGTGAACACACCGCCAAAGCAGCATGTACAACACTCCCAATAGGAAGAAAACCCGCTGGGTTGTTCATCCTGTCACTTGTACCCAGACACAGCTGGGACTTGCTGAATTGTCTCAGGTGAACAGCTTCTCAAACAAGAAGGTTAACATGTGTTACCCCATAAAAATTCTTATGTTATCTTGCGGGTGCAAAATGGGGGGAATCTTTTAAGAACAGTATCTATATTTGACAAGTAGTGCTTTCCTAACTCAAACAATGTGGGGTTTATTATTCTACACATATTTCTAATGTCTCTCAGATATTCACATTCTCGTAGATAGTGGTCAAGGCGGTGTCCGTCACTCTCATCACAGATTCTGCAACTCTGCTGCTCGGCTGTTATTTCCCTTCCGAATCTCCATGAATATTTGTATCCAAGACGGATTCTCGCTATTACTGATTCTCTCCCGCGTCCTCCTCCTCTTCGTCCATAATGATTGGGATTGCCAGCTGCAACCATGTTGTACCATCGTACAGATTCACTGATTTGTGCTTGTATCCTCCTTTCCTCAGTTACCTTGTCACGGTGATATTGCCTGAATGTACCTCTAATTTGTAGCAAGCAGTCTTGGGTATGAAGTATTCAATATGGTCTCCTTCAACAGCCAGCACATCTGCTAGTTCATTTCCACATATTCCAACATGAGAGGGAATCGGGATCCGCAGAAACTTGACGATTCTTTCCTGAATGGTTAGTACTCTCACAGCTCTTGATTTCAGAAACTATCGCAAGATTTTCTGCCCGATATTTACTTAGGCTTTGTAGCATATTTTAATCTCACTAAATATATAATATTCTTACCTCAGGTTATATACTGGCTGATATCCACGGGATATAGTCATATTGGCTTGGTGTTTCTAATTTATTTTCTATGCAATCTCACTATATTTATTTTATCTCTGATACATACTGAGTTCACGAAATCTAGAGCCAGACAATAGCAAAAGTACTTTTCAAGTACTAATGTTATACATTTTCTCAACATGGATGTGCAGTACCCAGCCTCTTACCTGGCTCTGTTTAAGGATACACCGGCACTGAAAACAGGGGTGGTGGTTGCAATCCTTCGGGATACACCTCGGCTTCTCGGGCGATGCTGCAAGTTTGTGACCGCGAAAGAGTTGCTCTTGTAGCCAGCTCTCGACCAGGGTCACGGCTTCGTCTTGGGCATCGTGGAGTGGCGGTACGCAGTCTCCGTCTATCGTTGTCCAGATGGGTCATACATGTACTACGACTCTGTTCAAAAACCCATGCACGAGGCATTCGTTGAATACATAACTAAGAACAATATTCCTTAGAGTGACGTGAAGTATTTGAAGCTGAGCGCCCAGGACTTTAAGTTGGACACTTGCGCCTATCACTCCATCGCGTTCTTGGACATTGTCACCAGTTCCTTCCTTCACGATTACAACAGCGTAGCTAATCACTTCTACGGCTGTATGGTCGTATGTCCTGACCTGGTGGTCGTGCTGCATGTCAACGCCATGCAAACTGAAATCCAGAACCGTATGCAGATGTCCCCGGAGACTTGTCAAGTCCCCGAGGAGAAAAGTCCACTACGGGCTCACCATAGCCCGTGCTACTTGGAACTTTTTGTTCCAGGTGGCGAATCTTAAACAACAATAACAACCAGGGAGCGCAAGGCCCTCAGGACAATCCGCCGCAAGAATTGTGTCGTACCGTACCGTCGGAGGGGAAGGAATTATCAGGTCAAAGCGCCAAGCTATTACCACTATATAGCACTCTGAAGAAGTCAGGATAAAGATTTGAGATGGGACGGAGGAAGGAATGGTCAGGATTTGTGATGAAGGGAGTGTGTGATGAAGATAGTTACAGTGATGAAGGGAGTGTGTGGTGAAGATAGTTACAGTGATGAAGGGAGTGTGTGGTGAAGATAGTTACAGTGATGAAGGGAGTGTGTAGTGAAGATAGTTACAGTGATGAAGGGAGTGTGTGGTGAAGATAGTTATAGTGATGAAGGGAGTGTGTGGTGAAGATAGTTACAGTGATGAAGGCAGTGTGTAGTGAAGATAGTTACAGTGATGAAGGCAGTGTGTGGTGAAGATAGTTACAGTGATGAAGGGAGTGTGTGGTGAAGATAGTTACAGTGATGAAGGGAGTGTGTGGTGAAGATAGTTACAGTGATGAAGGGAGTGTGTGGTGAAGATAGTTACAGTGATGAAGGCAGTGTGTAGTGAAGATAGTTACAGTGATGAAGGCAGTGTGTGGTGAAGATAGTTACAGTGATGAAGGGAGTGTGTGGTGAAGATAGTTACAGTGATGAAGGGAGTGTGTACTGAAGATAGTTACAGTGATGAAGGCAGTGTGTGGTGAAGATAGTTACAGTGATGAAGGCTGTGTGTAGTGAAGATAGTTACAGTGATGAAGGCAGTGTGTGGTGAAGATAGTTACAGTGATGAAGGGAGTGTGTGGTGAAGATAGTTATAGTGATGAAGGGAGTGTGTGGTGAAGATAGTTACAGTGATGAAGGCAGTGTGTAGTGAAGATAGTTACAGTGATGAAGGCAGTGTGTGGTGAAGATAGTTACAGTGATGAAGGCAGTGTGTGGTGAAGATAGTTACAGTGATGAAGGCTGTGTATAGTGAAGATAGTTACAGTGATGAAGACTGTATAGTGAAGATAGTTACAGTGAAGAGGGTTACCGTGATGAAGATGGTTACAGTGACTATGAGCGTGTGTGTTATGGTCACACGCGGGTACAGCAGTGGATGATAATGTCAGAGTCCTTCCCAATTACAGACATGTTACAGAAAAACTTTCCGGTTCAAAATCCAAACTCTGTCTCCTACTATGTCGTAACTTTCCTGGTATTCTAAATGATTTTAATAATTTTTTCTAGTGAAATAAATTTTGAATATATTATAATATTTTTCTAGTGAAAGTTTTTCTTGAGAAAAATGATCTCGATTGGGAGTGATACAGGTTTATAGTTGATTGGGTCTTCTCTATTTCCATTATTATCGTTTGGAGCTGTGTTTGCCTTTTCTCCATACGTCAGCTAGGCTCCCTGTTCGCGAGGACCCTTGGAAGATATTCTGTATAGTTGGACGCTGATCTTGTATGCACATTCCCTTAGTTCCCCATGGAGCAGGCTGGGTCGAACCACTTGGCCTGTTGATCTGGTTGCATACCTCTGAATCCTCTCTATTTTTGTCTTTTTGTGTGTGTGTAAATACAAAATTTTTCTATGAATAATGGACAGAACTTAAATGAAAGTGTAACATAATGTAGATACATTTTATTTTATTTAACATATACAGTTGCAAATACATCTTTGATAAAGATGAATTATACACGTTATTCGTTTGTTGTTTAAGTTCAACTTTCACATTACAAATTACTGAGTAAACTACAGGTTCTTCACTATTATTGGTAAGTAGGCTATGCAGGTCCTCCTTATACGCTAAATACGATATATTTTTTTTATTTTTTTAATAATGGAAACTGTTTTTGTAAACAAATGATACAAAACAAAAAATAACTTAAACTGAAACAACGTAACAAAATTATCGTAAATAAAAATAAAACAAAACGTAATAAAACAAGAAATTATTAAATTAAGAGACACAATTCGCCTCTCAACAGATACGTCAAAATAACAGATCCTCCAAAATAACAGACACGCCAAAATAAGAAACCCGCCAAAATAACAGACACGCCAAAATAAGAAACCCGCCAAAATAACAGACACGCCAAAATAAGAAACCCGCCAAAATAAGAGAAGGGAATTATCAGGGGGAAAGCGCCAAGCCATTATGACTATACAGCACTGGAAGGGGTCAGAATAAGGATTTGGGATGGAACGGGGGGAGAAGGAATGGTGTCCAACCACTTGGACGGTCAGGGATTGAACGCCGACCTGCATGAAGCGAGACCGTCGCTCTACCGTCCAGGCTAAGTGGCTAAAAAAAAACATCAAAATAAGAAACCCTCCAAAATGAAAACCCTCCAAAATAATAAATCCACCAAAATAAGAAATCATCCAACATAAAAAAACTAAAATAAATCCTCCAAAACGCTAAACCCTCCAAAATAAGAAATCCTCCATAATAAGAAATCAACCAAAATGATAAACCCTCCAAAATAAGAAATCCTAAAAAATAAGAAACCCTCCAAAATAAGAAACCCACCAAAATAAGAAAACCACCAAAATAAGAAACCTTCGAAAATAAGAAACCCACCAAAATAAGAAACCCACCAAAATAAGAAACCCTCCAAAATAAGAAACCCACCAAAATAAGAAACCCTCCAAAATAAGAAAGCCACCAAAATAATAAACCCTCCAAAAAATTAGAAACCCACCAAAATAAGAAACCCTCCAAAATAAGAAACCCACCAAAATAAGAAACCCTCCAAAATAAGAAACCCACCAAAATAAGAAACCCTCCAAAATAAGAAACCCGCCAAAATAAGAAACCTTCGAAAATAAGAAATCCTCCAAAATAAGAAACCTAGGAAAATAAGAAACCCACCAAAATAAGAAACACACCAAAATAAGAACCCACCAAAATGATAATCCCTCCAAAATAAGAAACCCTCCAAAATAAGAAACCTTCCAAAATAAGAAACCCTCCCAAATCAGAAACCCTCCAAAATAAGAAAACTGCCAAAATAATAAACCCTCCAAAATAAACTCTCCAAAAAAGAAACCCACCAAAGTAAGAAACTCTCCAAAATAAGAAACCCACTAAAATAGAAAACCTTCCAAAATAAGAAAACCACCAAAATAAGAAACCCTCCAAGATTAGTAACTCTCCAAAATAAGAACCCCACCGAAATGATAAACCTTCCAAAACACGAAACCCTCCAAAATAAGAAACCCTCCAAAATAAGAAACCCTCTAAAATATAAAAATGCCTAAATAAGTAATCCGGCAAAATATAAAAACCGCCTAAATATAAACCCGCCAAAATAAGAAACCCCGCCAAAGTAATACACATAAACGTCTCTCACCCATATTACGACGTTCCAAAACTTTAAAAAGATAAAACACATTCATTTCTAACTTAATAAAATACACAATATTCTTCAAGTTGGTTCAGAGAAGTAAAACCGAGTTTTACTTAGCAAATGTTTGGTCCATATATAGTAGTATGTATTCCTACGCAGATAATAATACGATGATAATAAAAATATATAATACAATGAGAATATGTCAGTTATAAAAGGAGAATTAGATATAACGAGTATAGAGGAGAAAAAGTTATAAGGTATATATAGTAGAGAACTAGTTACAACGTATCGAAAAGAACTAATTATAGCATGTGTGTATGGATTAAAATTAGTTATAATGTGTGTGTATAGAAGAGAACTAGTTATAAGATATGTATGTTGGAGAACTATTTATAACATTTGTATAGAAGTGAGCTAGTTATAACTTTTGTATAGAAGAGAATTAGTTATACCATTTGTGAAGAGAACTAGTTGTATAACATGTGTAAAATGAATACAAGTACAAACAACATGGTCAAAAAATATAATTAATGTCAAATTTGAGAAACCCTAAAACCAAATTATTATTGAGAATACAATATACATGATAAAAAATACAGAATACAACCCAAGGAAAGAATACAACCTTGGGAAATAATACAACACTTGGAAATAAAACATTGTGAAATCCGTCATGAAATATATCTTATATCCTCTAAATTACTAAGACCAACTCTTGGCCAGATTAAGCTTATGTTATTGTATTTTTTTGTATTTTTTTTTTGTATTTCGTAGTGTTTCATAACTGAGAAAAGAGATATTCCATCAAATAAACTTGAGTTCAAAATTATTTATTGATTACCAACAGTGAAAAAGTTGAATTATAATAGAGCCAGCTAACCATCAGCTGGTGTTATCATGCGAAATTCTGAAAACTGCCATAAGCTTAATACATGAAATACAGCCATATTATACAATAGCCACTGAGGATGGGTAGGAGGGAATATCTCAGCTGCATAGTCAGGCAAATACAACGTCTGACAGCGCGAGAAACTTAAATGTCTGGAATGAAACAGAACTTATTAATTAATAAATAATGGCAATAGTAATGAGCTGACTAATCGAACAGAATTGAGTCAAAATTACGCTCATCCATAGTTTGCTTAGGCTAATGGAAGACATGATTTGGGAAGCCTTGTACCTACCGCCTTACTGTGCATAGGCCTATTTGTGATTCACTGTAATTTGAGGCTTTTTAAAAGGCTTAACGTCGACAAATTTCCTGTTAAAATATAGTTAAAGGCCGCATCCGAATCGTGTACAATTTTAACTACAAAAGTTCATAAATTTCGAACCCCGTCAAGCGGAGTAAACTGTTGCTTTTGTTTTTTAAATTATATATACACACCACTACCGCGAGCCTATATTCCTATTCCTTTAGGCGAAGACACATATATATCAGACCACCTGTTTATATAACATGTCGCCCCATATATCAGACCACCTGTCTATATAACATGTCGCCCCATATATCAGACCACCTGTCTATATAACAGGTCGCCCCATATATCAGACCACCTGTCTATATAACATGTCGCCCCATATATCAGACCACCTGTCTATATAACATGTCGCCCCATATATCAGACCACCTGTCTATATAACAGGTCGCCCCATGTATCTGAAAAAACTAGAAACAAAATCATAAACTAACATTAACACGCTGCGAGGGATCCTATATTGAATATATCAGAGGCCAAAAGCAATGGTTCTACACAAAAATATGAATAAGAGACGAAGAATTAGGCCTATACACATATATGCATAAGACAGGAAGCATTGGGCCTTCACAAACATATACCTAATTCACGAAAAATTAGACATACACAAATAAATGTTTAAAAATATGATAGAATGGGAGTATACAGATCGGATTTTTGTTTTGTTTTGAATAAAATGTTTAACAGAACAAATCATTATTAATGTTAATTAACTAAATTATTTATCAGTAATAAAAGGAAGTAACAATTACCTCCTTTTATTATTATTGAACACTTCAAATCTAAGGTTGGGAGTTAGGATAAGGTTGGGAGCTAGGATAAGGCTGGGAGCTAGGATAAGGCTGGGAGCTAGGATAAGGTTGGGAGTTAGGATAAGGTTGGGAGCTAGGATAAGGTTGGGAGCAAGGATAAGGTTGGGAGCAAGGATAAGGCTGGGAGCTAGGATAAGGTTGGGAGCTAGGATAAGGTTGGGAGCTAGGATAAGGTTGGGAGCTAGGATAAGGTTGGGGAGCTAGGAAAAAAATTAATGCATTCGTATTGAAATATATACAAGTATAAATTAAATGAGATAGTAAATATATCGTAATAAATGACCGAGTTATTAAACACATCTACAGATAATACATGAAATAAGTCTATTAACTGAACAAATAATTGCATGCAACATTGCAAACTAAACACTAGCGAAGAACACAATTATCAACATAAATGTTTACACAGGAACTATGGAATAAACCGAAAATTAAATAACTCAATATAATAAAAAAAAATTGAAAAAACAAATCTTGAAAAACTAATAATAATGGAGATATAAAAGATTAATTAAGACAGGACAATTAACCTATTAATTTAGACATTAACTGGATCTTTTCCCAACCTTAAATGCGTATATACCAGTAAAAAAAATAATTAAGGGGACTCTAAATAGATTAAAATAAAAAATAATCAAGCACATGTAATGATATGCAACTTAACTACACAAAGTAGGCAAATTAAAGCTGGTTCTGTAAGCTCTCATGAACTAAGAAAATGTGTCGTAGAAAGAGACCATTTGGTGCTGGACTCCAGCCAAACCTAACCTAACCTAACTTAACCTGACCTAACCTAACCTAACTTAACCTGACCTAACCTAACCTAACCTAACCTAACCTAACCTAACCTAACCTTACCTAACCTAACTTAACCTGACCTAACCTAACCTAACCTGACCTGACTTAACTTCACCTAACCTAACCTAACCTAACATAACCTAACCTGTCAACCTAGCCTAGCCTAACCTAACCTAACTTGATCTAAGCGTTAGAAATCGCACAAATAATCAATACACACTAACATGCATGATGATATATAAATATGTGCCCCACATTCAAATGAAATTCGCGTAAACAGCAGCTTTGCACAGAGTAATATGAAGGAAAATACCAAATAAGTGACATCCTTATCTTCGAGAATATAAATACTAGAGTGAACATGACGTTACAAAGATGAGGCAAGGATGGAAGAGCTCACGTGACTCCTAAGCTATAGATATAGCCATGAGTAGTTGTTTAGTATACAAAAAAAACTGAGTCTAACTCTTATAAACAGGTTAAGATCGCTTACTGTGTTTCTATTGTTATGTTTATACAGATAGCCAGAGAAGAGGTTCACGCTGCCTTGTGTCACGTGACCAGCTTTGTTGTCCTCAGCACTTTGCTCACTCTAGTATGTATATGCTCGAAGGTCCTTTTATAGGGTATTCACGTCTGTGTCGGACAAAAATGAGAGCACAGCAAAAATATATAATCATAAGCTATCTCCTGCATCCGTGATTATGTATGCATACATGTATGGGTCACAAACTGGGAACACATGTTTATACATAAAAACACACACACGCTATACTTGCATACATATATGTATAGGCCGACATACATACATGTATGCATAGGACCGTGTGCTTGCATTTATTCATAGGGTCGACGTGCTTGTATATATATGCATAAGCCTACCTACGTATGATCATGTTCTTGCATAAAACATATGTATACGTTCTTGCATATATATGTTCCTGTCCGAAACGCTTTACGTAATAGTGGCTTTAGGCATTGTATGTACTAGCTCTATCTATAAATCCACCAATCTTTGTAAAATCTCTTGTATGTACCTTACCTAAATAAACATTTATTTATTTATTATTTATATATATGTGTATCCATTTCCTGGCATACATTTATGCATACACATACATACATACGTTCTTGCACATATGTGTGTCCGTCCTGGTATTCATATATGTAAAATCGTATAGACGTGGACTGAAGCAGTCGCTACAAAAACAAAAGAAGGAAAGCCTTAAAGCATGCGTAAACTTAAGCATTAAGAGCACCAATGACAGTATAAAGGCACAGCGGCCGCCAGTTACATAACATAAAAGAAAATAAACCTCAAATGCAATAGTCGAGCAGGAACATGCAAGATGCGGAGGTGGTCGGCCTAGCCTCAAACCAAAATAATAAATTACAGAACGTATTGAAAACGACATAATTTTTGTCTATATGGGGCGACTAAAATAGGGATTGTGATCTAATAAGCAAAGTTAAGTTGGGCGTGAATTATCCGTGAATTATTAACTCCTAGGATAGTTCAAGAACTCATATTGATTATATTGTATCCTTTTTCAATTGGTCAGGTAAATAAAAAAAATTTTTTTAGGAGGGAACTAGTCGACCAGTAAGATGTGTGACAGACAGAGAACACGAGGTCGTAAGTGCCAAGCTGCCATGGGGGCTTCTAAGCCTTCCACCGTACATCTTCTCAATGTTTCTCATATTAGAAAAAACTATTGCAATGTTTTTTTAAATTCCAATATTTTCCTACTGAAATACCATTTCAGAATATAATAAATAGAGCGCATCATGAGTAATTTGTGGCTCTGGCACTATATGATACAGACTTGTGAAAGGTGTACGGATTGGGAAGGATCATGGAGGATTGTGAGAAGCTGGAGGAACCACCTGAAGGCGGTGTTTAAACATATAAAAACAAAAAAATACAATATAAAACCTGAACTTCATGCATTGTACGTTTCATATCGTTTTGTCAGTTACAGGTATGAGGAAAAAAAATATAGCAATGGCTTCATATTATGTGATAAACATAGCAGTCAGAGCAACTATAGTCCCTTTTCATAACACAGAAAAAATTATATATATATATATAGTAGCCAAATAAGCACAAAATTCACACAATATATATTTTGTGTAAAAAAGAACATGGAACCTGCATTGATGGGGATCAAAACATACCCTCTAATGCTGTGTATGTCTCTCTTTCCGATGCTATGAATCTCCTCTCCAACCAGAGGTAATACTTTATAATGTATAACACAAAATATATGTATTTTGTTGGAATTTCTACAAAATAAAGATTAAGCCCAATTAACAAAGTATGGTGACATATATAAGCAAACAATAACTTAAATATTTTACTCGAGTGAAATGAACACATAATATAATAATTTTAATACAATACTGTATATGTTGTAGGTGTATGAAAATACTGTATATGCTAGAGTTGAATGATACTCTGTATATTCTGCTATTAAATGACAAAAATGTATACGTACTGTAGTTGTGTGAAAATATTACATATGCTCTAGTTGTATGAAAGTATTGTATATACAGAAATTGTATGGAAATACTGTATTTGCTAATTTTGCATGCAAAACAAAAATTTCGTGTGTAAACAACATTTCCAACCTTCAAACAGGATCAAAATTGATAACATTTTAACTAAGAATTTGAATACATAAACCCATATATATATATATATACTCTCCAAGCAAAAGTTGACATGAACACGGCTGCCAGACCGCAAATACAGGAACCAAAATATAACATCTGTATGTTCAAATTATGAATAACTTCAAAATATGTTCACATATGAACCCATTATGTTTAAACCATAATTACAAAAAAAGTCATACACATTACAAACATTTGTCTTTTCTTTTAAAACAATATTGGTTTAAACATAAATAACAAACTCAGTTAACTGAAAAATAAAAAAAATAATATAATTAGCCTATGGCTGAACCTTGGAGTATATACATACTAGAGGGAGCGAGGTGGGTTATGGGAAGTGTCACGTGACTGTAGGCATCATGCGGGCTTCGTCAATTTTTAGTGTTGACTCCAGGTAAACTCAACTAATGTGCTTATGGGTCCTGGTAAAGATGATTCGATTATATATATATATATGTTTTACAGGTACGAAATTATAATTAATATGCTATAATATATATACCATGCCGAGTAAGCATATAATATGCCTGTGTTAAAGCCTATCCATCGCGGCCGAAGGTTGCTATGGTCACGGAAATAGCTCGCTGACCAATCAGCAAGTTTACTAAAGTAAACCTCTCAATGTATATACACAAAGGGGTATATACAAGGATGTATATATACACTGCGAGGGGTGCATCTCTCAGTCTATATAAATCCTTGTGAGCGTTAGCTAACGGGTCCGTGATAAGTCCAACTGATATATTATAATCATTTCATTCCTTTTCATTTAATTATTTTGAGAAGTGCTCTTCTAATCTAATTCTTGGCAATTTGGCTGACTTATATATTTACGTTAATAGCTGTTTTATTTCTTTATGTAGCTCCACCTTACTTTATTCTCGATGATTGCATCAGCCAATCCCCGGATGATTTCTGACGTCATGTATCAGCTGCCTCGTGACGTCACCCTTGGTAGCCCTGCAAGATGTCTGATGCCATGCATCAGCTGCCTCGTGACGTCACTATTGGTAGCCTTGCAAGATGTCTGACACCATGCATCAGCTGCCTCGTGACGCCACACTTGGTAGCCCTGCAAGATGTCTGACGCCATGCATCAGCTGCCTCGTGACGTCACTCTTGGTAGCCCTGCCAGATGCCTGACGCCATGCCTCAACTGCCTCGTGACGTCACTCTTGGTAGCCCTGCAATAGAAGATTAACACAATCAGGTTAATATAATCAACAAACCGTTTCGAGTTATATAATAAGAAGAAATAAGCAATCTACATTCATTTAAACAATAAGGGGTTTCTTTACTGTTTATATGAAACAAATATAAAAATACATAATTGATTGATTTTCAATACTTCTCCGTTTTAATATTTATTTGGTAATCATTACAAAAAATAAAAAAAAGGTCTTTCACAGTCTTAACTAATCCAAGGAGGGTGTGGGGTCCACCATCTTCTTGTAAATATATAAATAAATAAATAAATAATCCATGGCTCGCAGGATGGGTATGGGGGTGACCATTATAATATTATACTCGGTAGTAGAAAGGAGGTCAGAGGTGAAGTAAACAGTTTAAAGGTGAAGTAAAGAGAGTTTACCAAACCCGGGGAATAATCAAGCGTACCTTTACCTTTAAGGAAAGTAAAGTAGACATTCAATTGTATAAGTCTCTGGTGCGCCCCCTCCTGGAATATTGCATCCACGCATGTCAATATAGGTCAAGATACCCATGGACCAGAGCTAAGTCATCTCTCGTATCAGGAACGGCTGAGGGCTACAGGGCTGACAACTCTACAAGCCAGGCGTGACAGGGCGGATCTCATCAAAACCTTTAAAATACTGAACAATTTGGAGGATGTTGATCCAGACAATTTCTTCAAAAGGTCAGATGTAATACGAACGAGGCGCAACGGGTTCAAGCTCAACAAGCCACAATGTTGGACTGAAAACAGTTGATGCTTGTTCACCCATAGGGTTGTAAACCCGTGGAACCGCCCGTTTCCAAAGCGATATTTACCCATATTCTTAACTTTATATTATATACATTTACAATAAATAATGAAAGAATCTTACCAAAAATAAAACCAATGACACTAAATGCGCAAAGAGCGCTCGAGTGAGAATTAGGATATGTTGAGAGCTGGGAACTACGCCTGCACAGACAGCATAAAAGATCCGCAAGCCTGTTGTGATTTTGAAATTGGCAGAATTAGGCTGAGGTGGTAATTAATGGGTAGAGGTGATGAATCTCCCAATAGTGGGCACGCCAATTGTAAGCTGTGTGAGCTATTATAGCTTGTTATTATACACTCTTCAACAACTGTATACCTTATTATTAATCATTTTTAGACCAAATTGCGTGAGATACTTTGAGCTGTGTAACTGCTTCATCCATTCACAGATATTGGAAGATATTCCCACAGTATTCTTGACTTATATCCTCATGTTTCTCCTATTCCATGTATGAATAACAGTCCTGTGAGGTGGCGATAATGTATGAGCGATTAAATCTACAAGTTTTTATTGATAAATTAATACGTTTATATCTTGATTTTGAAACTGAACTGTTAAGATAACAAATGGGCGATGGGAACAGTCATGTTTGATGCTGACTTGGACGCGAAAACTTTTTGTCTTGGCTCTGGCCAAGCCACACCGGCAGTGTTGCTCCAGACACCTCGGTGGGCGGACGTGTCGGCCAACTCTCGGTATACTGTGTCACTGTTACGAACTATATTTTTAAGAATAACGTGGCATTTTCTCGCGTTGCCTTCAGTGATCTATTCATTGAGAGTTAACAAAATCAGCCCGTGTTTTAATGGGAGAAATTGGTGAATAATTAAGATTTCAAAATGAATTTCAGTATTGTATTGAACACGTGACTTATCTTCAGAAAATTGTATGACAGGCACAAGAGGATTGTGTTAATACAATCATCAAAGAAACAATTTTTTGTGTGTGTGTGAAATTGTTACTTATATCACGTATGAACTATATAACACGAAGCATTATATATGATTATATACAAAATTATCATATTAACTTTACCAACGTAATGTTATCTGTACTAAGTACATATAGTAATTGTAATTACATACACAATACACAAAGTTTATCTGTGTTATGTTCTGTAGCACTATATAGACTAGAGGGTTGTATAATTCATGTTTGTATGAATACCATACATACAACCTCTAATCATACATAACAATTTCTAATTTCTTGAATCATACATAACACGCTATATGTACGATCAAAGAAAGTATTACATATTATATAAGGTATAACTATAAAAGGTTTAGTCTGTACAACAACAAGCAAAGTATCGGATTAAGTTAATTACCGGATTGCTGGTACAAGAATATCTAGTATCCGGTACAAGAATATCTAGTATCCGGTTCAAGAATATCTAGTATCCGGTACAAGAATATCTAGTATCCGGTACAAGAATATCTAGTATCCGGTACAAGAATATCTAGTATCCGGTTCAAGAATATCTAGTATCCGGTACAAGAATATCTAGTATCCGGTACAAGAATATCTAGTATCCGGTACAAGAATATCTAGTATCCGGTTCAAGAATATCTAGTATCCGGTACAAGAATATCTAGTATCCGGTTCAAGAATATTTAGTATCCGGTTCAAGAATATCCAGTATCCGGTTCAAGAATATCGAGTATCCGGTTCAAGAATATCTAGTATCCGGTTCAAGAATATCTAGTATCCGGTACAAGAATATCTAGTATCCGGTTCAAGAATATCTAGTATCCGGTACAAGAATATCTAGTATCCGGTTCAAGAATATCTAGTATCCGGTTCAAGAATATCTAGTATCCGGTTCAAGAATATCTAGTATCCGGTACAAGAATATTTAGTATCCGGTTCAAGAATATCTAGTATCCGGTACAAGAATATTTAGTATCCGGTTCAAGAATATCCAGTATCCGGTTCAAGAATATCTAGTATCCGGTACAAGAATATCTAGTATCCGGTTCAAGAATATCTAGTATCCGGTTCAAGAATATCTAGTATCCGGTTCAAGAATATCTAGTATCCGGTTCAAGAATATCTAGTATCCGGTACAAGAATAACTAGTATCCGGTTCAAGAATATCTAGTATCCGGTTCAAGAATATCTAGTATCCGGTTCAAGAATATCTAGTATCCGGTTCAAGAATAACTAGTATCCGGTTCAAGAATATCCAGTATCCGGTTCAAGAATATCGAGTATCCGGTTCAAGAATATCTAGTATCCGGTTCAAGAATATCTAGTATCCGGTTCAAGAATATCTAGTATCCGGTTCAAGAATATCTAGTATCCGGTTTAAGAATATCCAGTATCCGGTACAAGAATATCTAGTATCCGGTTCAAGAATATCTAGTATCCGGTTCAAGAATATTTAGTATCCGGTTCAAGAATATCCAGTATCCGGTTCAAGAATATCTAGTATCCGGTTCAAGAATATCTAGTATCCGGTTCAAGAATATCTAGTATCCGGTTCAAGAATATCTAGTATCCGGTTCAAGAATATCTAGTATCCGGTACAAGAATATCTAGTATCCGGTTCAAGAATATCTAGTATCCGGTTCAAGAATATCTAGTATCCGGTTCAAGAATATCCAGTATCCGGTTCAAGAATATCCAGTATCCGGTTCAAGAATATTTAGTATCCGGTTCAAGAATATCCAGTATCCGGTTCAAGAATATCGAGTATCCGGTTCAAGAATATTTAGTATCCGGTTCAAGAATATCCAGTATCCGGTTCAAGAATATCTAGTATCCGGTTCAAGAATATCCAGTATCCGGTACAAGAATATCTAGTATCCGGTTCAAGAATATCCAGTATCCGGTTCAAGAATATCTAGTATCCGGTTTAAGAATATCCAGTATCCGGTACAAGAATATCTAGTATCCGGTTCAAGAATATCTAGTATCCGGTTCAAGAATATTTAGTATCCGGTTCAAGAATATCCAGTATCCGGTTCAAGAATATCGAGTATCCGGTTCAAGAATATCTAGTATCCGGTTCAAGAATATCTAGTATCCGGTTCAAGAATATCTAGTATCCGGTTCAAGAATATCCAGTATCCGGTTCAAGAATATCTAGTATCCGGTTCAAGAATATCGAGTATCCGGTTCAAGAATATCTAGTATCCGGTTCAAGAATATCAAGAATATCCAGTATCCGGTTCAAGAATATCGAGTATCCGGTTCAAGAATATCTAGTATCCGGTTCAAGAATATCTAGTATCCGGTTCAAGAATATCTAGTATCCGGTACAAGAATATCTAGTATCCGGTTCAAGAATATCTAGTATCCGGTTCAAGAATATCCAGTATCCGGTTCAAGAATATCTAGTATCCGGTTCAAGAATATCCAGTATCCGGTTCAAGAATATCTAGTATCCGGTTCAAGAATATTTAGTATCCGGTTCAAGAATATCCAGTATCCGGTTCAAGAATATCGAGTATCCGGTTCAAGAATATCTAGTATCCGGTTCAAGAATATCTAGTATCCGGTTCAAGAATATCTAGTATCCGGTTCAAGAATATCGAGTATCCGGTTCAAGAATATCTAGTATCCGGTTCAAGAATATCTAGTATCCGGTTCAAGAATATTTAGTATCCGGTTCAAGAATATCCAGTATCCGGTTCAAGAATATCGAGTATCCGGTTCAAGAATATTTAGTATCCGGTTCAAGAATATCCAGTATCCGGTTCAAGAATATTTAGTATCCGGTTCAAGAATATCTAGTATCCGGTTCAAGAATATTTAGTATCCGGTTCAAGAATATCGAGTATCCGGTTCAAGAATATTTAGTATCCGGTTCAAGAATATCCAGTATCCGGTTCAAGAATATTTAGTATCCGGTTCAAGAATATCTAGTATCTGCTTCAAGAATATCTAGTATTCGGTTCAAGAATATCCAGTATCCGGTTCAAGAATATCTAGTATCCGGTTCAAGAATATCTAGTATCCGGTTCAAGAATATCTAGTATCCGGTTCAAGAATATCTAGTATCTGCTTCAAGAATATCTAGTATTCGGTTCAAGAATATCCAGTATCCGGTTCAAGAATATCCAGTATCCGGTTCAAGAATATTTAGTATCCGGTTCAAGAATATCTAGTATCCGGTTCAATATTTATATCCGGTTCAAGAATATCTAGTATCCGGTTCAAGAATATTTAGTATCCGGTTCAAGAATATCCAGTATCCGGTTCAAGAATATCTAGTATCCGGTTCAAGAATATCCAGTATCCGGTACAAGAATATCTAGTATCCGGTTCAAGAATATCTAGTATCCGGTTCAAGAATATCCAGTATCCGGTTCAAGAATATCTAGTATCCGGTTCAAGAATATCTAGTATCCGGCCCACAAGTATATGGCCGGATATCATCAACATTATTGCAACTTATTATTATTAGTGAATTAAAAATTTAATTATTAGTGAATTAAAAATTTAATTATTAGTGAATTAAAAATTTAATTATTAGGGAATTCCACATTACCAGATTAAGTGCTCAATTGAATTACAAATGTAATTCAATTTACGAATTGAATTCAATTCAAGATATTATATTCAAATGATCACGTTACAGGGGTTAATGTATTTAGGTACAGTATTTTATTAAGATACTAATTACACATAGCGTTTCACCTAATGCCGCTGTTCACCTAGCTGTAACTTAAGTACTCGGGATATACGAGTGACTTGAGTTTGATATTTTATGCTGTAGTATATACTTATTACTTAGTGTGGCGACGCTTTGTCTTCTCTCAGATCTATCCCGTGATGCACGCTAAAAAATATGGGTGTGGCCCTATGTTTGTTTTGAGTGTGGCCATATGTTTGAGTGTGGCCATATGTTTGAGTGTGGCCATATGTTTTGAGTGTGGCCATATGTTTGAGTGTGGCCATATGTTTGAGTGTGGCCATATGTTTGAGTGTGGCCCTATGTTTGAGTGTGGCCCTATGTTTGAGTGTGGCCATATGTTTGAGTGTGGCCATATGTTTGAGTGTGGACATATGTTTTGAGTGTGGCCATATGTTTGAGTGTGGCCATATGTTTGAGTGTGGCCCTATGTTTGAGCGTGTCCATATGTTTGAGTGTGGCCCTATGTTTTGAGTGTGGCCATATGTTTGAGTGTGGCCCTATGTTTGAGTGTGGCCATATGTTTGAGTGTGACCCTATGTTTGAGTGTGGCCATATGTTTGAGTGTGGCCATATGTTTGAGCGTGGCCATATGTTTGAGTGTGGCCCTATGTTTTGAGTGTGGTCATATGTTTGAGTGTGGCCATATGTTTGAGTGTGGCCCTATGTTTGAGTGTGGCCATATGTTTGAGTGTGGCCCTATGTTTGAGTGTGACCCTATGTTTGAGTGTGGCCATATGTTTGAGCGTGGCCATATGTTTGAGTGTGGCCCTATGTTTTGAGTGTGGCCATATGTTTGAGTGTGGCCATATGTTTGAGTGTGGCCCTATGTTTTGAGTGTGGCCATATGTTTGAGTGTGGCCATATGTTTGAGTGTGGCCATATGTTTGAGTGTGGCCATATGTTTGAGCGTGGCCATATGTTTGAGTGTGGCCCTATGTTTTGAGTGTGGCCATATGTTTGAGTGTGGCCATATGTTTGAGTGTGGCCCTATGTTTGAGTGTGGCCCTATGTTTGAGTGTGGCCATATGTTTGAGTGTGGCCCTATGTTTGAGTGTGACCCTATGTTTGAGTGTGGCCATATGTTTGAGCGTGGCCATATGTTTGAGTGTGGCCCTATGTTTTGAGTGTGGCCATATGTTTGAATGTGGCCATATGTTTGAGTGTGGCCCTATGTTTGAGTGTGGCCCTATGTTTGAGTGTGGCCATATGTTTGAGCGTGGCCATATGTTTGAGTGTGGCCATATGTTTGAGTGTGGCCATATGTTTGAGTGTGGCCATATGTTTGAGTGTGGCCCTATGTTTGAGTGTGGCCCTATGTTTGAGTGTGGCCATATGTTTGAGTGTGGCCATATGTTTGAGTGTGGCCATATGTTTGAGCGTGGCCATATGTTTGAGTGTGGCCCTATGTTTGTTTTGGATGTGGCCTTATGTTTGTTTTATTATTGTTTGTTCTCTATGGTATCCCTGGTAGTACAGTCGGGTCCGTTCTCGACTCATAATCAGAAATTCTGGGTTCGAATCCTGGGCGGGACAGAAGTGGTTGGTCGCGTTTCCTCACCTAAGCTTAATGCCCCTGTTCACCGAGCTGTAGATGTGAGTACCCAGGAGTTAGTCGGCTTGTTGTGACCGGCTGTATGAGTTGGTGTATGAAAAGCTGTATGAATTGGTGTATGGCCACCTGTATGAATTGGTCTATTGAACAGCTGTGTGAGTTCGTGTATGACCAGCTGTATGAGTTGGTGTATAAACAGCTGTATGAGTTGGTGTATGAACAGCTGTATGAGTTGATGTATGACCAAGTGTATGAGTTGATGTATGACATAGAGTTGTTAGTGAATTCTGAATATATTAATCAGTATTAATTTGCTAGGTGCTTGCTGGTTTGGTGATTTCTTGCCTGCTTCTGATTGGATAGAAGATTCTCCTTGATCATTTAGTTACAGCGTGTGTGTGTGTGTGTGTGTGTGTGTGTGTGTGTGTGTGTGTGTGTGTGTGTGTGTGTGTGTGTGTGTGTGTGTGTGTGTGTGTGTGTGTGTGTGGTTACCACGCAGCTGGTGATTTGTTGAGCCGTGTACTGAGGAGGTGGACAGTGTCCAGAGGACACGGAGGTGTGTGTCTGTGGCCGTGGTCTGGTCCATGGAGCCGGTCCACCACCCACCCACATCCGTGGCTAGGGCCAAATTAGGCTTGGAGAAACTGTAGCCTTTCAAACTGGTTCTTCGCGATGTATGAGGATTTTTCATATATATATATTTTGGTTTATATATTTTTTGATTGTTATTCTTGATGTCGGATGTAATTAGTTTCATTATCATCGTTGTCATTGGGGTAATAATACCGTTATTTCAATATTTTACTCGTTATTGATGAGATTAGAGCTATCGTACGATGCGCGAGTTTTGAGTGGTAACTAATTTACTTCATTATTTGTGAATTAAAGCAGAATAACTTTATGTTTATTAAAACAAATCGTTGTGAATGCCACGGGTGTCGAATAAGAGGTGGTTTGTGACAAAGGTGAAAATAGTAGAACAATCATAACAAAATCAATGTTTTGGGTCCGGCGACTATAAACAAGTGAATATCGCAGGAGGAGGAGGATCGAGGTTCACCACAAGAGGATCCAAGACCTCTCCAGCAAGACGAGGTAAGGGGGCCAAGGGGAATCCTGAGATCACCCTCAAGTTTCTCTTAACTCTTCAGGGATTTTATAGGCTTGTGCAAGTTCTCGATTCAAAAGGTCTATCGAGATGGTTTTATAAAAAAAAATATGAATAAAGGGATACTAGTGGCTATGCCAGGCCGGTCCTATTTAAACACCTAATTACGGTACTGATGTCATTTGTCTGGGCCCATTTAAACACCTAATTATTTTACTTGTGTATCCTATCTGGCCCCTATTTATACATATTATTTTGTCCTGCGTATCGAAATTGGTCCAATTTAGACACCAAATTATGTCTTCCTCGTGTGTCCTATCTAGGTCCTATTTAAATACCTAATTATTTGTACTTAGGTAATCTATCTGGTCATATTTAAATCCCTATTTATTTTGCTTTTGAAAGCCATCTACTCAAACTATTATTAAAGTATTTATTTAACAGCTACTTTATAGTTTGGTCCATTCATTAACAACTCTATTGCTAAGCAAGTCGTTTCACATATTGTGCATATTTAGGCACTGGTTAGGTTAAGGTTAGGTCTTTAGATTCTGTTGGCGATTACAGTATTTGTATTTGTAGTGCGTGGGTGAAGCATTTACAGCGGTGTGGTTCGAACAAACGTCGTCAGTGAACAACCCGTCCTCGACTCAAGTCCATTACATCCAGCGATCGACCCCACAGGCGCATTCGAAAATTTTAACATACTGTTCATTCAAAACAGGAATTTTCTCAAATGTAAATGAATATTTTTTTATATTAGCATATTGTGCATATATAGACATAGGTTAGGTTAGGTTAGGTGTTTAGGTTCTGTTGGCGATTATTTGTATTTGTAGTACGTGGGTGAAGGATTTATAGCGTTGTGATTCGAACAAAATTCGTCAGTGAAACACTTGTTCCGGATATGTTCGAACGTCAGCAGTTGTGAGTCGTGTGTAAACCGCTTTTCATTCATAAACAGGGGGTTTGGCGGGTGCATGGAATCACTTTTGGATCTTTGTTTGGAAGACGGGCTGCAGTGAAGCACTTGTTCCGGAAGTGTTCGGACGTCATCAGTTGTGAGTCGTGTGTAAACCGTTTTTCATTCATAAACAGGGAGTTTGGCGGGTGCATGGAATGGGCTTTGGGCTTTGTTTAAAGGACGGGTTGTCGTATGAGTCCTGCTGGATGTATACTGTATAAGTCGTGAAGATATATATTGTATGAATCCTGCTGGATATTTACTGTGAGTCCTGCTATATATATACTGTATGGGTCCTGCTGGATATTTACTAGGATCACCCGCGTGCGCTACGTCCTACTTTACTCTACTGACCTAATAGCTCGATTCTGCAGATACAAATAGTAAATACGAACACAACACACGGACGCATAACAAACACATAACAAAACACACGAACACATAAGACACGGAGGTATAACAAAGCACGCGAACACAATGACAAAACACACGAACACATAACACAACACACTGACCCATAACACAACACTCGAACACATAACACAACACACTGACCCATAACACAACACACTGACCCATAACACAACACTCGAACACATAACACAACACACTGACCCATAACACAACACTCGAACACAAAGCACGAACACATAAAAACCCCCACACAATAACTGCAATGCACCGGGAACGTGAACTTCCTGCATGAGAACATGACAAAACCCACACAGACGGCGTGTGCTCGTGGATGACAGAGGGGGCGGCTGTTGAACCCTAAAAGGATACCGAGAACCAGGTTTACAAGGCTCTGTAACCCATGGGAACGCCCTCACAACACAAAGGATCCTCACACCATAATTTGGAATTGAATTCTAAGGGCCTTGATAAAATCAGGCTTTCAAGGTATATTAAACTTAGTGTATAGGTGCAAGAGGGTAAAGAATGCAATGAGGAATCCATATAAAGCATTAACCCTATAGTGTATAGGTCCAAAAGAGGAATTAAATCCGCCAATAAGTTTTGAAATATTTTGAATCGACTAAATAGGTTTAAAGTTATATTAAATTCAGTGAATATGTAATAAATGGCACTGCGCCTTCTGATTAGGTCCAAACGGGCATTGAATCCATTTGAATGGCTATAAATTATGTCGTCATTAGGGAATTTAGAAACAATAGTGTGATACGTCCGTTAGGACAACTAAACCATTATTTATATTAGGTATTCACAGTTTACACTAGTTTTCCAAATACGTATTTTCCAAAGTGTTTAAAAAAAAAAATAGTTTTTAGTATTCGTGCGACACAAGAAACGGTGAGAAAGAAGAGAGAGAGACTATACCCATGAGGCTACAGTAAGGCAAGGACCTGACTTATTTACAAGTCCTGGAGAAAGAATTGGAGGGGAAAAAAGACACTAAAAGAAATGTTAAATTCGTAGCCCGGAAATGTCCAGAGGCCCCGGAACAGACTTTCTCATGACTTACTCTGAAGTGGTCGAGAAAGTAATAGTAATCCCTTGGTTCAAAAGGTGCAAAGGTGCAGTTTGAAGATGTCATGTCGGTAAGGGGTAAGGCCTAAACCAAATTGTTGTTTACCCATGTATTTTACGAAGGAAAACAACGGTGTGAGGTCAGGTGGTAAGGCTGAGGAGACGAGGACTGCACTTCTAGGACACATTAAGAGAGCTCAATCTCACAACTTTAAAGGAGAGGCAGCAGAGAGAATATGACCACGACATAAAAAATACTAAGATGAACAGACACAATGAACAAGAACAGCTTTAAATTGAGAAACAATTGGAAAAGAGGACATAGATGGACGCTGGAAAGTCACATAGAGTCAAGGAAACATAAAATACTCGTATCTTTTATAGGTGGTCAACAAGTGTGATGCTATGAAAGAAGAAGCCGTGGAAGCCACCTCCATCTGCAATCTCAATAGCAGATATAACAGAGAATTCGAATGTCAAAAAGTTTAGGTAACGCCAGAGTTGCAGAATGCCTGGCAGGCGAAGGATAAAGAGCTAGGCTTCCTTCCTTCTTAGTCACTGTTAGTAAAATAGCAAAGCACCACCACCTCTACTATTTTCTTCTCTAAAAGCAGTCTACATAACCTCATTCCTCACCATTTATCTTCTCTGTCTTTATCACCATCACTTTTATCCCTCACCCTCCTCACACCTACACCCCACATACACACCCAACTACCACCACCTGGGATAAACGATAACACCCTCCACCCAATCCCTCCCATGTGACCTCTGACTGTCACCCCACAACTTCCCACGTCATCTAATATTCTCACGCATGCTGTACATCCCACCCCCACTACCTCCTCCTCCTCCTCAACCTCAACTCAAGCGCTGCTTCAACCCCTCACCCCTCCCCTTCCCTACCCACCCCTACCTCCCCTGCACCACAAGCAATCAGCGCAGGTGTGTCGCCCTTTCCTCTGCTCCTGACAGCACAGCTGTGCCGGCCGCTCCCTACAGCAACCTGTCCTCGACTCGAGTCCATTACATCCAGCGGTCGACCCCACAGACGCATTCATAAATTATTACATGCTGTTCATTCAAAACGGGAATATTCTCAAATATAAATTAATATTATAATATATTAGCATAGTGTGCATGTATAGGCATAGGTTAGGTTAGGTGTTTAGGTTCTGTTGGCGATTATTTGTATCTGTAGTATGTGGGTGAAGCATTTACAGCGTTGTGGTTCGAACAAAAGTCGTCAGTGAAGCACTTGTTCCGGAAGTGTTCGAACGTCATCAGTTGTGCGTCGTGTGTAAACCGTTTTTTATTCATAAACACGGGGGTTGGCGGGTGCATGGAATGGACTTTGGGTCTTTGTTTGGAGGACGGACTGTATACAGTATACACCCAGCAGGACTCATACAGTATACACCCAGCAGGACTCATTACAGTATACACCCAGCAGGACTCATACAGTATACACCCAGCAGGACTCATACAGTATACACCCAGCAGGACTCATTACAGTATACACCCAGCAGGACTCATACAGTATACACCCAGCAGGACTCAAACAGTATACATCCAGCAGGACTCAAACAGTATACACCCAGCAGGACTCATTACAGTATACACCCAGCAGGACTCATACAGTATACACCCAGCAGGACTCATTACAGTATACACCCAGCAGGACTCATACAGTATACATCCAGCAGGACTCAAACAGTATACACCCAGCAGGACTCATTACAGTATACACCCAGCAGGACTCATACAGTATACACCCAGCAGGACTCATTACAGTATACACCCAGCAGGACTCATACAGTATACACCCAGCAGGACTCATTACAGTATACACCCAGCAAGACTCATTACAGTATACACCCAGCAGGACTCATACAGTATACACCCAGCAGGACTCATACAGTATACACCCAGCAGGACTCAAACAGTATACATCCAGCAGGACTCAAACAGTATACACCCAGCAAGACTCATTACAGTATACACCCAGCAGGACTCATACAGTATACACCCAGCAGGACTCATTACAGTATATATCCAGCAGGACTCAAACAGTATACACCCAGCAGGACTCATACAGTATACACCCAGCAAGACTCATTACAGTATACACCCAGCAGGACTCATACAGTATACATCCAGCAGGACTCAAACAGTATACATCCAGCAGGACTCAAACAGTATACATCCAGCAGGACTCAAACAGTATACATCCAGCAGGACTCAAACAGTATACATCCAGCAGGACTCATACAGTATACACCCAGCAAGACTCATTACAGTATACACCCAGCAAGACTCATTACAGTATACACCCAGCAGGACTCATACAGTATACATCCAGCAGGACTCAAACAGTATACACCCAGCAGGACTCATACAGTATACATCCAGCAGGACTCAAACAGTATACATCCAGCAGGACTCAAACAGTATACACCCAGCAGGACTCATACAGTATACACCCAGCAGGACTCATACAGTATACATCCAGCAGGACTCATACAGTATACACCC